TTAGAAGTTACCTCCCTGTCGGGCATTTTAAAATGGAGATCAGGTCATTCTACAGTATACAGAGAGAGACCAGGAGTGGGAGCTCCATTTATTCATTATACAGGATGTTCTCCATGTGAGATGACCCTTTTTTTAGATTGCAGTGCAAATCAATTCCTTATTCATGTTGTGTTCGGTCTCCAATGCTTGTGGGAACATCTGCTTGTGTGACAATAAGAGGACAACAAGCCAGATCACTATTTTTCATGGGACAGAAAAACACCAGCAGTCTTAAAATGATCCAATATTACGCCCAAAAAGTTGTTACTATTCAGGATTGTTATTGTGTTTTAATATTATTATTATTGTCATTATTATCTACAGTGAGCTTTATAGGATCAAACCAAGCAGGAGACTGTATTTGCACTTTGACCTCCTGCATCCTGAATCAGTTTATTTCCTTTACTTGACCCTGCCCTCGTTCTATTTAAGGCAAAAAGAAAAGAAAAAAAGAAACAAACAAAGAGAGGGGAAGTAGAAAGACTTTGAACCACCTGTCACATTGTAACCATGACAACGATCAGTCGAGCCACCTCCTGATCGATCTGCTCAGTCTCGACTGGAAGATGTTGCAATCAATGCAATATATATCCCCGCTGTTATCAGCTCAAGGAGGCACATATCTGATTTAGCCTGTTGGACTTCAGGTTTTACGGCGTCGTGCAGATTGAAGGTCATTTAGGCAACATGAAACCTGTTGGAGATAAATATAAACTATGTTGAACAGGTGAATCGATGGGAGCATTCTGATCTAATTATAGTTCAGTTCAAAGTTTACAAGTAGCATGTTAATAAATCTCTTACTGTAACTTTTCAAATTAAATGTAGGCTATGTATCTATTTGAGGTAAGAAGGGTGTTTGTGAGCAGATTGTCATAGAAAACATGATCTACGTGAAACTCTTAACAGGCTCCCTTTCAACAATGCCTAACAATGCAGCAGTCAGTTTGCTTCTGACCTCTAGTGGACATTTGTTGTTATTGCAAATCAGCTGTGTATCTAACATGTTCAACCACCAGATGGCGCCTCTTACTCACCATTCGCTTGTGCTACTTTTAGACACAAAAGATTTTAAGCTTTTTTGAAGGGTACTGCAGACCTATGTCTTGTTTGATTGAGTTTAAAAGGGACTCAGCTAGATTGTTTCCAAAAAAAATCATGGTAATGATGACCTGATGAACCATTACACTCTTAATCCTAATAGTATAGTTCTCTGAATAAGAATCAACATTATGCTGGACAGATATTTTTCATTCTGTAAATGAAAGTTATAGACATGCTATCAGGTCTTCAATTTATTTAAAATATAATCCAGCACACACAGAAGGATGCTGCTAATGATTTTGTTCCTCTACAAACAGGAATTACACTTGTGGTTTTACTTGGCAGAATGTGTCTGACGTTATGGGTTTACTATTTTTAACACAATAGAGAGGGAGTTATTCCTGCGGTGCTGCTCTCACTGCTTTGTAACAGAGGATGCCGTTATTCCCGTTAAAGCTTTGGGCAGGATGCATAGTTCTTTTATTTTATTTGGGCTTTCATGTCTGAAATTAAATCTGAATTCCCTCCGCCATAATTTAAAGGGGGAGTTATTCCTGCGGTGCTGCTCTCACTGCTTTGTAACAGAGGATGCCGTTATTCCCGTTAAAGGCTTTCATGCCTGAAATTAAATCTGAATTCCTCCGCCATAATTTAAAGGAAGTAGCCATGAATAGGACCAAACATCACAAACTCACAAACTGTAGGTTCAAGCTTAGAGGGATCATATCAAACATGCACTCACAGATGTCCCGGACTTTTCTCACTTCATTGTTCACTTCATTGTTTTTAGTAAAGCCATTACATAAGCAGGTCAGCTATGAACAATGTTTGGAGGATACCGTTATTGCTCTTTTTTCGTCCCAAACACATTTCAGTGATCACCGCCATGGCCTCAGTATTGAGAAACACGTTGAAGAAAACAATCGAATTTCAAAAGCTGTTTGGTCAAACTGGAAATTGCTGCGCTTTCTGTTCTTCCTTACAAACATAAATGTGTAAATTAAGTTTGTAACTTGCTTTCATCTAAAACACATTCCAGAAATAGTGCCCTATTCAGTGAGTGACGACTCACACCTTTACCTCGGCTGTTTTTGAATACAGTGTTTTCTATTCTTTCCTCTCCCTCATAATCTGTGAGCCTTTGTTTACCAAGCACATGAGGTCATGATGGAGCGGGACTACTGAAGCTTTGTTCAGAGCTGGCAGGACTGCAGTGCTTACACGGATGGAAAATAACTTGAGACTACAGGTGAACATACCTGTTCAATAACAAAAGCCCTGTGTTAAAGCTGGGAGAAGAGGAGAAGTGAGGGCAGAGGGGCTATGCTTGACGAGAAAAAGAAAATACACTGTGACGAAATGTGATCTCAAATAAACATGTCAGCACAAACATTTCTTAAATGGATGAGTAGTTGAAATGTAACACATCTGCTGCCTTTTTGCATCACTGCAGATCATGTGAGGGCAAGTTGAGTCTGGTGCTGGAGTCGGTCCAGTCCAGTGATGTTTAATCCTTGTCAGCATCACGGCCTTGGCTGCACCTAATCCAACCTTCTGACCACCAGCTGAATTAATATCACAGCTAATCTGAACCCTCCCACGCCAAAGAGAATATTATTCATTCATGCTCACTCACTGAAGACCAAGACTGAGATTTTATTATGAACTGTTGCCTTTGCATAACCACACTGTTTGACGTTTGATAAAGAAAAGAAGCTAGTTGGCTAAAAATGATTTTTTTCTTTCAAGAAAGTTGATCAGGGGTTGGACAGAATTATAAAATATATGGTCACCCTGACTCATGTAATACAATTATTGAACGAATGGTGCCAAATATCGATATTTAAGCGACTCTAAATATAGATTTGGGCTTGTATTAGCTTTAAGAGCTAATGAATTACAGCATAGCCACATTCCCTAAACTAAAACCTACCGCCCTCCCAAGCCTTCCTCCACACCCACAAAGAGCATACTTCCATATGCACACACACACACACAAACAGACACACTATCACACCAGAAAATGGTATTCTATGAGCAGTAAAACATCATGAAAATGAGAAATGGATAAAAATAAACAAGTATCAATCAAAATGAATGCATCTTTCAGGATCCATTTTTTTCACTTCACAGGAAAATGTTGCAAAATCTGTGCAGATTTTCACATCTGTAGGTAGCCAGTTCCACTCCTTCCACTACTGCCCTGTGATGCCTCCTTAAACGATTAACACACATGCTGCTGTTCTTGCTGTTCTTGTTCTCTCCATACCAGTGGAGTGGAAACACTTGAGTCATTCACACACACACACACAAACACAGAGGGAGAGCGCGCGAGAGAGAGAGAGAGAAAGAGAAAGAGAGAGAGACCAGAGTTCAGTGCCAGCAGTGCAGAGTTTTCTCTGACAGTAGTTCACTGCAGCTCTCTGGAACAGGAAACTCTCAGAGAGCGGTGGAGTCATAGGCATTACCTCATCTCTCAGGCATGTGCAAACAATCTGAAAAACTGGATCTGATTAAAGGGTGAATGCGTAGGCCAGGCTGCACCACCTAGAGCACCTCCCAAACTTGAAGGCCTGTCCCTCAGTTATCAAGAATAATGCTTGAACTGGGGCCAGTTGTTTTGTCAGAGGGGAACATTAAACCATGGTGAAAAATGGACAAAGATAATCTTATATATACAGTATATATATATATTATGCCAATGAATAGTGCACATCATTAAATACCATGATTAACATTTGTTTCAGTTAATATCACAGTAGATTGTGAGCCCGATTGTTGAGTCAAATACAGTGTATGTGTTATTAGGGGGGGCTCTTCCTTTTGTAGGGGTGGCCACAGGGGGGACCAAGCTCAGTGTTACAGGGGCACTGGCCCCTGTTGGCCCCTGTTGGCATCTGCCTAGAACCGCCCATGGGTTCAGCCACAACTAGCTTCATATTTGCACTCTCAAAGTCACACACAAGGCCTAAGTTTTGTTACTCGTGGTAGCAACTTAGCTCAGGCTCTCTGTTAGTCTGTCTGTGTGTTTTTTTTTTCTTCAGTTTATCCGGTTGGTCCAGATAGAAAATATCTCAAATCTTTGTACAGACGTGGACGGCCCTCAGAGGATCTATCCTCCATACTATTTTCTTTGGTGAACCCACTGACCTTGTCTTTGGAAACACCCTACGTTAGAGCAGTCATTTTTTGTAGTGACCTGTGTAAACTAAGACAGGATGATGAACTGCCATTACATTTTGAGCATTCAGCCTAAATACCCAGAACTAAGTCCTCTGGCTTTTCTTCTGACACCATCTGGTTAAAACTTAATTTTCTTAAGTAATTTAATTAAAGACCAAATATTTGCTGACCTATTTCAATTCCAAGCCGTTAGTCATTAGAACATTTTAGCATACAGTGCTATCAAGTAAAGATACCACAGAAGCCAATAGTAAAGACTGTACATGCTAACACCACATAGCAGGTTAGTTAGCCGTTAGATCAGAGCAACTCCTCAATATGGAGCTTGCCTTGCATGACTACATTACTTGTGTTTTCTACTTTAGTAAAACCTGACGCAAATGAAAATGAATGCCTGATGGTAGTTTTGTTGGTGTACTTCAAGTTTGAACTTAACCATCAAAAGGTTATTATTGTACAAGTGATTCTTATGCAAACTAACTTTGTGCACCTTACGTCCTTTCCTGTTGCTTCCCCAAGTTTAATGCCTCTAATATTGTATGAATCAGCATTATGCTTTAGACTATAATATGATCATTTTCTTCAAATCCTGAGGCAATCATGACTATGCAGACATTCTAGTTATGTTAGCTTGTTTCATATTTACCTTCAAGATGGCAGATGACAAGGGCTGGAGTGAAGACAAATGAATACATTAAAATAAAAAATATTAAAAGACAAAAAGGCTACATAAGTCAGAGTTTGTAAAAACATTTATTGTTGAGGATGTCTGATATTCAGCAGTGTGTTTTACCAGCTTGTGGTTTCATAAAATCACATACTCCTTATTTTGAGTATACACCTGGGGTTTGATTTAAGGTACAAACACATCTCAGCAATGAGTTGTTTAAATGAATGTGGGAGAACAAATAAAAGTGTGTGTGTGTGCGCTTTGATTTTGAGATGGCATTACACAATTAATAAACATACTGTAATATAGATCACAGAATATTCTTAACAAGCTCAAGCAAAGAAAGCAGTTTTCCACCAACAATGCACAGTAAGGTCAGAGGAAATACGAACAGACATGATGATGGATGAACTCAGATTTCAAACCCAAAGTTTGGAACCAAGCCGGACGATTTAGTCCAGGAATGTGAGGCTGTTGGGTGTTTTTGGTCAGGACACAAACATGATGTTCACATCTGATGACTTCATATCAGTATCTTATTACATATAGTCCATATGTACTTGTTTAGGTAACACCTGAAAAAATCCTGTCATACTAATGTCAAGCAGGTTAGTGTACCAATAGAGGCACACGCTTCATGTGTTACATAATGTATGACCTGCTATGCCGAGAGCCAAGTAAAAGTGTGCAATGTGTGGGAGTGAGAAAAGTTAAATTTAGGATCTGTACAACACTTTTTTATCGATGCATCATCGTTCATAGAAACATTTCACAAGTACTCGCAACCTGAGAAGTTCCACACAAGCTGTTTACCAGCTCACCTCTTAATTAACTTCTTGCTTAACCGTTTGTTCAAAAATGAAAGAAAAAATATTGACCTGATGTGTTGCCTGAAATATTTCGAGACTGTTGTTTCTAACTCGATGACAGTTTTACGAGTAAGTGACTGTAGATGACAAAGCAAAAACCCGAACCAGTAGCCAATGTCAATACAGATACTCTAAGCACTGCATGTGTAAGTCTTTGGCATGGTTTTTAGCATTAGGGAAACTCAGTGTGCCGAGCAGACAGTTACAGCATCGTTTATGAGAGCAGGCCAGAGCCTCTCCAGTCCAGACTGGGGTTCATATCCTGTTCATTTTACAGTATGATCTCATTTTTACAAGAAACCTTCTTATCATTTCCTGTTCAGGGTAACAAGTGATCAGAATAGCCAACATTTGAATTGAAACCACATGAAAACAAGGTCTTTAGTAAGAATAAAACAGTGAAGTGATATAAAATATTACACATTGATACTTACAGTATTTATATATATAAGGGCGTGAGCCAGCATCTGCTTTAAGGCTGACTGCAGCATGAGGTCAGCACAATTGAACCATTACACACACTAGCCCGAGACAGTTGAGCTGGTTTTACAAGGCAACTCCAACAAACGACACCTGCAGAGCAGCATGCAGATGGAACAAACAGGAGTGATCTGAACCATGAGTCAGATGTTACTACGCTGTGACTTATCATGTCTTGTGATCTCTTTAGACGCAGCTATGACCATCTGTAAGTCTTAGAAGTTATTTAACAGACTGGTCTGGCTTTGATTTGTGTCACCTTCGGATTCAGGGTTTCATTAGGAAGCTTTTAGGCCTTAACAGCAAACTATCATGGTGTAAATACTCATTTTTACAAAGCTGTTACTGTTGTTTCTGTTGCTTGGTCATGTTCATGTTTATAGCAAAGTACAAAAGGGGGGAAAAAAGCAAGTAAAAAGTCCGGACAGATCATTTAAAGGCTAAAAAAAAAAAAAAAAGGGAGCAGCTGAAATGAACTGACTAAAAACTAAACAGATTTACACCTTCAATAACGTCAACAACAAAATAATAATAAACATATGTATAAACATGTGAACGAGGGAGGGCAATTCCAGTTATTTCCCTTCTTCTCAGATGTATGTTCTGGTTGAGCACGCCTTGCCCCACAGTTTGGCACAAGACTTAAGTTTCCACACAGTGAGATGAGACCAGGGCACTGGCTGAAATTATTCCACACGACGGTGAGATGAAACAACAGGATTGGCTGAGAGACGGGTCGGGAAACATCCCTACAGGTCTCCTTCCACTCGCTTCTTGCGGACTAGAGAGGAAAAGTGAAAAAGAAAATCATCGATTAAGAATCTTTTATTCCCCCCACCCCCCCATGAATTGATTGATTCAGAGTATAAAACAAAAAAACATGCCTTCAATCTACACAGGCCTGTTAGTTTATCATGAAACACTATGTTACATCATCATGAGCCAAGCAGTCAAAGTTAACAAGGGTTTCTACAGCATGTGTCAGCGTGTCAAAAAAAAAAAACAACACAAGTGAGATTTCAGTACTCTCACACCGTGTCAACCTCCATACTGTTAATGCAGTGAACGCTTCATTCAAACACTCTGATGCACTGACAAACTCATAACCACACCCATGCATCCGACCTGTACTACCCCGACTCTGACAGGATGACGAGCTACAAGAGAGGAGACGTCGTCACTCTTACAAAGCCAGAGAAACCAGCTGGAGGATATTCAGCAACAACTCATCCAGCTTTAGCAATCTGAAATTCTTGTACATGGGCATGTGTGTGTAAGAGTGTGTGAGAGTGTTTGTGTGTGTCATACTAAGGTCGTTGTTCTTGGTGATGGCTGCAGCTGCTCTGGAGCGAGGTCCTTGCTGGTTGAAGTGGTAGCCAAACTTTACTATGCTGTTGTTCTCTTCCAACATCTTAGCGATCTCCATCTCTACGGTGGTACCCAGCTGCTGCCTCTGAAACACACACACACACACACAAACACATTTGAAGAGGTCAAAATGTGAACATCAGAGTCACATCTGGAACAAGACCAGACGTGGGCCTAAAAAAAAAAAGAAGAAGAAATGTTTGAACCTCTTTTCCTGTACTGGAATGTCTCAACTCGTGATTGTCTGTGTTATTCAGGCAGTGGTTTGTGTTATTTGGCAATTTTCTTCAGCGTCACATTTCTTACATCTTTAGGCTGAGTGAAACCACTTTATTAAGAGTGAAAAGACTTTTTCAGTAAGTTCCCATAAATCACCTACAGTGACCATGAATCATAATAGCACAAAAAAAACAAAGAGACAAAGAAAAACATTTTTTATCTTCAATTCCATAGGTATTTTATGGACTTAGTCATAAACAAGGACGCTTCTGCTCATTCAGATCCTTGTGTGTGTCGTAAACATTTTATAACAAGCCACCATAACCTCCAGGATCTCCACCATTAGTTTAGGAAGTACTTTTCAGGGGATATTTGCATTTAAGTCATCCCCATTTTGTTATTTTTCACCAACAAGTGACCATATTTGGACATGAGGTTGGATAGGGAAGAGGTCAAGTGTGGGGGGTGAAATCAACCTTTAAAAGTAGCTGCACCCTTAAATAGAGGATTTTAAGTCTTGATATAAATCAAAAAGATGAGTTACATCAAAACAAACATCCTCTTTATTTGTTATCAATCAAAATTAGCTACTGAGACCAAAATTTTTTTTTTTGTCCGGCTTTAAACAGGTTTGTGTCTGCTGTGAAGTTAACCATTTTAGCATGTATGTATGCTAACCTGTTGTGCAATAGTATGTTCATACTTATGTCTGAATATGCAAACTCAGTACAATAGGGCTATGTGCAATCACACCAGCATTTAAAGTTACAGGCTCTAGGGCAAACGCAGTTTACATCACAACCTCATAATCTTGTGCAATAAGCTGGCCCTTTAAGCACTTTAACTCTGAAGGTCACTTTATCATGGTCTGTTTTGAACAAACCACACATCCACTTATTATGCTTTTGTAAATGTCTGTCAACTGATGTACAGTTTATGTTGTTGTTTGGTCAATATTTGTTGTATTGGTATTTGTATATGTGTGTACCACCAACCTGCCAAGGGACTACAAATGGAAATAAGCCTATGTCAGTCTGGCATATTTACATGTTTATGTTCATCATCGTGCACTGTCCCTATGTTAAATAAATAAATAAACATGGGGCTCTATGAGTACTTTGAATATTCAGAGGGCTTTTTGAACCAGCCTCAAGTGCCATTCAAGGAACTGCTGTTTTTTTTTTTTTCAGCCCCAGCAGTTAAGCTCATAGCGTGTATGTTTATAAGTGTGTATGTGTGCGCAACAAAGCATCTGGTACCTGGTTGTCTATCTTGATCTCTGTGAGTGTGTCATTGTCTCGCAGCGCATCAACCAAAGCCTGCACCCCGGCCCCAGTGATGAAGTTGGTCTCGAGGTTCAAACTTTGCAACGTCTTGTTCTCCCTCAGCATCTCGCTGAACGCCTGGAAAGAGGAAAAGAAAGGACGAGTTGGAGGAGGAAATAAAACAAGACGTTAAATATGGGGTTGTTCAGTGAGAACAAAGCTGTTAAAAATCCCACAAGCCACCATCTTACCACAGCAATCGGGTCATTACTCCGTGTTGCTGCCAGGCTGAACTTCTTGACTTGAGTGTTCTTCTCCATGGCTTTGGCAAAGTCCTTCAGCGTTGGAATTGGAATGTTCTGAAAACCAAATACACACTGCTATTTGTCCCGAAACACACAATGATACACGATGACACACACAGATAGCTTGTGTTTCTGTGTACCTTTATATTGTTGAGGTTGACCTCTGTTAAGGAGCTGTCATTGCTTTTTATCCTCTGCAGAGTATCTTCTACATTAGTGGGATTTGGAGGCTCGTCAAACACCGGGTTCATCTTCTCCCCTTTGATCACATCTAGATCAGAAACAAAGTCAGAGGTCAACATGCAGATCCTTTACGGCCCTTTGACTTAAGGGGTTAATCCTGTGGTTGTACTTACTGTTGTAACCCGCTTTGCTCCCAGTCCCGTCATATGTCTGAGTACTGGTGACCAATGTGTGAACACCCAGGATCGCTGCAAAACAAGAGCAAAACACACACTCAGTTAAGGGTGCGAGAAGAGTTTGTATACGCATGTGTGGTAAAAACAAAATGCACCCGTATCGGTAATTGAATAAAAGCTAATCAAATCTAGAGGCTGCAGCAATCAAGTTATTCTGTTCAGTGAGCCCTGTTGTTCCCTCATCACACAGTAAAGGACGACGCCTCGGAGTGAAAGGAGCTTGTGTTTTATGGTCGCACTAAAGAGAGAGCTCGGGCAGGCTTGAAGACAACTACAACACTGTGTGAACCACATACAAAGCAACCTTCACACAGAGTTTTGAAAATGACTTTGAACCTTTTTAAAGGCATTTCTTCATTCTTACCTGCTAAATCACACAGTTCAGTATCTGTGGCACTGGACAGGGCTTCCTCTAATTCTGGATCCAGCTTCGTGACTTCTTCCTGACGTGTTTCTATGGGCTTCTGCTTAGGAACAAATGCTTTACCTATAGGGAGACAGAAAAAGAGAGAAAGTTTGAATCACAAACGAAGGTTTGACACCCTTAAAAATGGGAAGGCATTAAATTACTTTAACGTGAGCACAGACAAAAAAACAGGTACACACAGGCCTGGAGAAGGTTTTATTGGATGTTACATAACCCCCCCATTTAAACAAAAAATGTCCAACTGTTGATTAATGTGCGTTGTTATTCTCATTCAGCCATTCCTGCACTCCTGCCTTGTGCCACAGTCACAAGACTGCATGACTGCCAAGTGCTGCTCTGTAAGCAGATGGACACATTCCCAGATATAGCCACAGTATAATTAATATGCAAACATGGTTTTTTAATAAACAAAAATCAGTACTATAACTACACACTTTTACTTTTGTTGTCTGAAAACAAACAGATAACTCCACACGGTCAACAATGTTCCTTGCTCCTGAGCTTTAAACTCTTTGTTTCTGCATGATGCCACATTGTGTGTTTCTTGGCTTGTTTCCTTAAGAAGATTAGATGTTTAAGTATTTCTTGCAGCACAGATCAAGTAGTAGATCATTAGTTTCATTTTGCTGTTCACTCTAATTATATCCACTGTTACTGACTGTTGTTAAAAGTTAACTGTGAATTGATTAAAAACTCTTCTTTTTCGTAAGGAGGAGAAGTCTGAACAGCAGAAATATACTGTTTGAGTACGTCTTAGCAACCTGCTATTTTACACAACATTCCTCAGCCACCAGTGCAGACCAGCTGAACTCAGCCCAGCCATGAGTGTCCGACAACTATGGAATTGCCATGGCAACCCATCTGACCCAAGGAAGTCATTCAACAATGAGTGGAGTCTAATCGAAAAAAAAACGCACTGCTGGAGCATTACAAACACTCACACTGGATGGAGAGACCATGCAGAGGGTGCCCCTCACTGTCTCTCTATAGGCCTGTCTACTTCAACAACAAAAAACAACCCCAGAACAGACCCTCCCCTCTTTCCCTCCTTCTGAGTCCCTAATGCCAGTCAAATTGTTCAAACTGATCTCGAGTGGGGCTCTGGCACTTCCTGAAAGCTAGTAAACAGTAAATACAGTCATCAGGCAACATCCTGTGCCAGTCCCCCTGGAGCAACACACAAACTAGACACAGCCAAGAGACTGACAGCCCCACAGTCCCTTCGTTTGTATGATCCATAACTCGTGGACTAAATGAAAAACTGCTGACAGAATACAAGAGATTCACACAGTGTCTGCCTGTTACAACAGTATCAGACAGGGGGAAACTTTTTACATACCAGTGCATTTAGTGAGAGGTCTGTTAAACCAATAAATGCTCTCTCAACTTTTATTGATTTTTAACTTATCTGTGGGTTTGTTCTCCACCCTCTACTATATTCTTCAAAAAACAAGATGCTTTTCAGACTACAAAAGACCCAACAGCCAAAATAACAAAGAAATCTCACACTACAGGTTCCTCCTTCCCAGCAGAAACTTCACTTCAAGCTTCATTTAGCAAGAACTTTCTCATTTTAATAGTGTTCTAAAACCCTGAACACAAGAAAAGATGGACTAATATAAAAGTAATCAGAAGGGGCCGGCACAATATGACGACATTTGGGTGGTTAAAAGGCTTTTAAACAGACATTATGTGTGCTGTTGAACAGACACACACATTCATCATGACCACATTATTTATCAGCGGGGGGTGAGTATAACAAGGGGAAGTGAGTCGACCACATTCCACAGAACCAGCACAGCGTTGTGAGTTTTCCATGTTGTCACACACACATGCACACACACACACACACACACACACACACACACACACACACACACACATACATACATACATACATGATACACACACACACACACACAATCATGCATGCAAAAACAGAGCGAGTATAATTTCCAACAGGCCAAGTCAGGGTCAGGGGAAAGATGTCAGCTCCATATTTCCTCTCCAGTGAGACTCAAGCGTGCAGATCTCGAGAGATCCAAACTAAAGAAATTACTCACCAGAGATTATTTCCTGTTCTCATTTTGGTTTTATTTTCCCCTGTTGTGCTGCATCTTAAAGCATCTTCTTCTTGTCTCGCATAGAAAGGGATTAACCTAGGTTGTTGGGTTTTTTTTTTAAACTTGTTAGAGAGCAGTTTTTTTTTTTATGTGCTTACTGCATCACTTATCTCATCTGGATCAGCAGATGGTATTTATTTCAAAGTTTGTGAGAAATTTCCCGTCACAAATATCTGCTGTGTTGTGAGAGTCCCCTGATCATTTCATTCCTCTTAGTGGGAAAAAAAAACCTTCTATCATATCCCTCACTGTTTTACCCATGATGCATCCACATGCGATACCTTGTGTCTTTTTACTCTTAAACTACCAAAACTACAGACACAGCTGCCTGTTTATAGCCTGATTATGTACATGTGTATCACTGACAAGTGCTATAAAAAACAAAGATTTTTACTTAAAGATAAACAGCTGGACTCTCATTCTGATTCATCAATGTTTCAGTGACCGTGATATTGTTCAACGACATGTCCGTATACGAGCAAAGCAAAACTAATTATTATTGCGAGGAATAACTTCTATTCAAATAAGCTGAAGCTCTGATTTGCATTGTTTTGAATGGCAAAGTAAACAAAGGATCAGAAATCTCAAAAACAGATAAAAGTCGTTCACTTGAAGAGAGCTCAGGGTGACACAAAGAGACTCACTTCACTGCTCATTTCAGTTTTTTCTATCACAAAATGGTGTAGTCCTTCTTAAGTGGTTAATGCTAATTAGCACTAGTCTTCTTTTAAGTATTTCACTTTTGAACTTGGTTTGAAGGGGTACTGTGATCTAAAAAGGTTTGAGGAACCAACGCTTTTGAAATAATTAAATCTACAAACTAACGTCTATCAAGAAAACACGGTATAGACATTTATATCCCTGACGTGCCTCTTCCTTTGACACTGCCCACCTCCTCTCCCCTGGTACAAACACACCTCCCCCTCACTGCTATATGTTGCATAAGAGCAGACATGCATGAATAATACACACTGAGACAGAAAGCAGTAACTACTGCTGTGTGTGTGAGTGTGAGTGTGTGTGCGTGTGTGTGTGTGTGTGTGTGTGTGTGTGTGTGTGTGTGTGTGTGTGTGTGTGTGTGTGTGTGTGAGTGTGTGTGTGAGTGTGAGTGTGTGTGCAGACACACCTCAATTCATCATCCCTCGAGAAATACATCACTACAATGTTATAGCATTTCACTGCTGATATAATGAATGGTGAACTGGTGTACAACTCCACACAGTATCCCTAATGGAATTGAACATTCTTGACCTTTATAGTTTTCTGAGACACTTTAATAATCTGACCTGTAACTAGCCAACAATAAACTGTTACCAGACTTACTTTGTTTTTCTCTATCCCTGTCTCTCTTTCTTCTGCCTGTTCACATTTGTTATGAATTGGAGCTATACAAATAAAGATTGATTAATTGACTGTTGCCCCTCAACTTTTTCTGTTTTGATTTTCAGTGATGAAATATTTTTGAGTTATTGAAGTAGGAATGACTCCTACTTTAGTGCACTACTATGCACAGTTGCAGACAAACAAAACACAAACCTTTTCTCTCTCCAGTGAAGGGCACTATGTCATCTCTGTCCTTGTACTCCATGGCTTCCTTCTCCAGGTATTTGAGGAGGCCGTCTCTGTTAAACGATCCTGTTGCTTTCTTTTCCGTCTGGTCTTTCTGACGCATGCCGGCTGGGAGAAGAGCATTCTGAGAAGAGGAGACGGACAATACACAAAAGTAGACTTCAATACCTTCAATGTAGCCTTTCAGGGTAAAATGGTAAATGCTATATCATTCATATATTTAAAGCTGTAAACACATCACTATGCCATATCTACTCAAAGGACTACTTTAACATTTATGATCGTCATGCCTGCAAAGGTTTTGAAGCTCTGCTGGCCATTCTAGCTCCACATCACTTTGTGTTGTCAGCACCTGTTAGATGTGTATGCACTATGACATCAGAATAGCATCATATTCCTTTAGGAAGATGTTTTGAGTTCTGAGATTAATTTTTTTTTAAACTTTTTGTCAAATACAGAACTGCACACACAAAGGACAGTTTCTTCTTTCATTCTTAAGGTCTGTGCTGTAACTGCTATCGCGTCAGATTAACGAGTTTGAGTGTCCAACAAGCAAATAGACCCGAGTTACAAGTTTACTTAACAGGACGTTAACAAACATATAAGCAGTTTGACTTGATGCAAGTCAACCTTAAGCTTCTCGTGAACAAAACTTGACATAAAGATGCAAACCTCAGGGAGGTGAAGAGGATGTGAGTAAACTTGGTCTAGCTAGCAGCCAATGAAACTAAATGCAGTCATTTTTAATGTAAACTTGACAAACTTTACTTTGCAAGTTTAATCGAATGAAATTGAGAATTTAATATTTTTCCATTGCTGCTGACTGTTTCCTTGGGGGCCCCGTTCCTGTGGGTCACAATGCTGGGTTATTTGTTTCACTTGGTTTTGCTGGAATTTAAATTCAACGCCCAGGCGCCTGCTGAGGGTTTCATTATACTCTAAAGCTTTTTTCACAAATAAACACACAAACACTTGGCAGCCTGCTGACAGTTACTGCAGCTCAGACTCCCTCAGTCCCTCACTTAAATCATTTACCAAACCATGGAGGCTGGGGACTGGGAGGTGTTGTTGGAGGGTGCAAAGGAAAAATGTACCCGATTTGTGAAGTTCAATGCATTCCAGGAAAGAAAAGTGGCATTAACTAGGTGAGGCTGGTTGGATGTGGGGGCATTTCTGTTTTGTGTATTTCTAGGACCATAGCTCCTCCAGTTATTTGAGAAAAATACTTAAAACTGCAAGAGATTTATGAGTCTTCTTATGGCCATAACATGCATGACGTTTGTTGTATTTTTTTTTTAATAGTTTTTCCGCCCACTAACTCCCTCTGTTACAGACACTCCCTCTCCCTTCCTCTTGAAAGCCCTGGAGCTTCTCAATCTTTGACCACATCCTGACCTCAGGGTCCATCTCCTCGAGGGCCGTCTCCAGCTGTTTAAGCTCCTCCGCCGACAGTTTGTTGAGGATTTCATCTTCGTCAAGATCCTTGTACTTGTCCAGATCCTTCTTGAACGACAACGCCATGGTGCCGGCTAAAGCTTGCTACGCAGAACACTGGACAGCAGACCACAGCCACGGTTTGTCTTCTCAGGCTCACTGCTCCAGATCAGGAAGAGGCTACCTGAAGACAGACAAGGGCAAACAAGAAACATGAATAGTGATGGGGCTTTCAATTCCCTGAGACCTAATCTAAACTGAGCTTGACATTGTTTCTCTCATCTCTGTGAAACAATAGTCCGTCACAGCTCGATTGGATGAGAAGGCCTTGCGGTGATGCAACACAAACACACAGCTGGAACAAAAGGGACTTTCTCAGGCCTGATCAAATCAACCGACCACTCCTTTGAGGACCAATAACAACTCATGGAGAACTCAAAGCTTGGTTTACTAGAGCAAACAATCAACAATGTTAAACTGGAACAAAATAATCTTATATTTAAATGTTATTTAAAAACTCATGTATGCTTTCACTTTTCAAAATTATCGCCTGAAAACAAAGCAAACTGGAACAGGGGCTAGAAATACTTGAGAAAACACTTTAAATACTTGTACAAGCAAATAACCCAACAGTCCAGATCAAATAAAGCTCAGATAAGTGAATGAGTTAAGGAGTGGGTGGATCCTGTCAAACTAAATGAAGAGGCTCTACGCTGCCTTTAGTTCCCTCTCCCACGCCACAGTCCAAAACCTAAATGACCTCATGATTTCCAGACTCCCTGCAGGACTCCACAGATGGTTTTAGTCCTAATTACTCTCACACATACAGACACTCACACACAAACTTAACTCTACACACATTGAAACGTTTCTGTCCCTAATGGCTTGGTCACGCTATAGGCAAAATAAGCAGGAAAGACAAAACTGTGTTTGTTTGTGTAAATACAGACGAGGCACACAAGTACTTAGAATAATATCCCATACGTCTCACTGTTTCATTTCAAATGTCTCCAAATTCAGTGAAAGTGGGGGAAAACTCCCCGTTCTTCAGATCTGCACTTCAGGAAAGGATTCTTTAAACATTTAGTGCCATTTCCTCGGAACTGCCTGAGTGATTTCTTCCGCTCAGAGAAATTCCCTTAAGAGTCTGGGGTCTGTCTTCATGTTCTGTTCATCGTCTTCACCGTACAGCCTGAGCCTGCCTCAGTCCCGAACTGACTCTCCTCCTCATCGCCTCTATCATCACACCACTACAACTCTACATTATTTATTTGTGAAATGATTATGAGAGTCATAGAAGGGGCACTTCACAAGCCTGAGTGCCAGCAGATGAAGCTGGAGCCCAAATGTCAGCACTGATGAGGGTGATCAAACCAAGCATATGAAAATAATGATCAACAATAACACTGGGCCACATTTTCTGCTGTACAGTAGTTCAATCAGATCCTGTAAAACAGAGATGTTAAATAGAGGTGTAGTACACTGCTACTGTTGATTTTAATCACAGCTAACTGAGAGGAAGGAGATACGTCATTCAAGACGTGCTGAAGAAGTACAGTAGGAAACAATATGAAGTGGACATTTAGATCCGGCCAATAAGAACAGAATAATGTTAACACTAAATAATGGAGCCTCAAGGATATGAAAAAAAGGAGACACTTTCAGAGAGGTAAAATTAAACTATCACTGAAGTGGCCGATTCTGTACATTCTTAAGGTTTCACGTGGATTGTGCACCAATTTATGCAAGTATGCAAAGCTGCTCGGGAGGCTTCTACTGAAAACATTACCTTTAGAAAAGAACATTTTACTCTGAGGCTCTGCTGCATGAGCTGCAGGCAGTGTTCAGAATATTGTAAACAAAGAGTCAGAGCTAACTCAGAGCTGCACATAATGCATGACGGCACCTTTAAGGACAGGTTGGAGTAGGTGCACCGTGCACATCAGAAAATATAACTGCTGATATCTTTGATAAGCCAAAATCTGGCATTAATATAATCTGACACATGTATTGCTCTGGCTTAATTAAGTAAAACCATTGTTTAATAGGAAATGCAGGAAATATACTTACTGGTATATAAGAAAATACTTCAACTGACTTGCAGGTTAAAGCTTTTGTGAGGCAGCATAAACACAGGACTAAACTAGAGAATCGACCTTAGCTTCAACGTCATATCTGCCATATTAGAAATACCACATTAATTCAAATCATATGAAAATAGTTCTACATCCACAACAACAATCTTTTGTGCAGTGATCATGGGAAAGCATCAGGATTTGTCTCTCATGGTGTCACTACAGATATTTTCTTGCTTTCTTTACGTAAGAGGGAGTTTTGTTCATATTTCATCATCGACAGTAAGGAGGGACACACCAAAAACATATGGAGGCTGTAAAGTGTAATTAGGCCTGTATCCCCCGGCTTCAGCGTGCCAGGATTTTTTTAAGTCTAGAGGCATTTTAGAAAATGAAGACTTTGATGTTTTTTGCCGTAATCCCTCATGTCCAGGCCCAACTCTTTTTTAATTCTACAGCAGTGAGATCTTTTCTAGGCAGTGAGAGCATGTGGAAAGATTAGTCTTGCATCAAATGATGTTTGATTTATGTCTTGGTGGTCATCATTTGGTTTAAATTACCCGGACTAATTCCAAGATTTTAAGAAGGCAAAATGCTGGGATTACATTTCTGTCTAAGATCTGGAAAAAGCAGAAACCCTGGACTGGGATAAGCATTAAGCCACATGCAGGCTGTGCACACACACACACACACACACACACACACACACACACATATAATGCTCTTATGGCAAGGTCAGCTCAATCTAACACCAGTTAACATATTATCCTACTCTTTAAAAAACACTTTCCACTTCATTGACACACATATATGTATATACATATATATACATACATACATACACACACATATATATATATATATATATAAGTCAACACATTTAAAGCTACAGCCGCTGTAGACAGTGAGGCCCAGATCTTTAGCATACGTGCGGACTGAAGAGAAATGGAGCATGCAGACAGGGATAATGATGGTAATGGGTGGGTTCAAGCCCAGGCAGAGACACTGAGAGGATCCATTAGTCCAATCTGATTGATTCCTTTCTCCCTCTCCCCTCTGCTAATCCTTCAACACAACATATGGCTCAGAGCCAATAATACTTCAAACATGTCTGCACTACACTCACCTTAAGCCCTCCCACACTGACCAGTAACCCCAGGCCACTGTGCTGCACTCCGTCACATAAACATATTACTGAGGATCGCACCAGGACGCAGCCACAACTATCTCGATTTAGGTTCACTAACTTGACAGGCTGGATGTCTAGTTTTCATTTTTTATTATCCATTTCCCAGTCTGAAGGTGCAAGTGATTTAAAAAAAAAAACGTGGTCGGTTTAAGCCCGTGTTTATGACGACTTTTCAAATTTAAACTGATCTTGAATTAAAGAAAACTATCAACTGTATGTTTGCATAAAAGACAAAACTATATTTTTGAGGTGGCGCATAACAACAACAACTATTTGTATGCTGCATCTGGTTGACTGAGGAAATAATTTGATAGTGGGTCACAAGAAAGACGTCAAAGGAAGTGTCGAGAATATGTTTCTGTCGAGGGCAGACTTCAGACACTGAGTTTAATAACTGAGTAATAAAAGAAGTTACATTTATTTTTCTTATCAACACTACCTGCACAAAGGCTGAACATGTTTTAAGAGAAATGTCTGAACATGTTGCAGTCGGTCATTAAGCACCAACATTCTTTCAAAAAGCAATGTGCATGCACAAATTTATAATCCATAAAGCCAAATCCATAAATCCATAAATAACATTTATAATCCATAAGGCCCAGATATTACAATCCACTCTTCCATTTCTACTAAAACATATCTGAGGCATGAGCAGGAGGAATAGTAACTTGCAGCTGAGACGTGAACATGAAGCACTCAGTGGTTATTATATTATTTCAGAACACCGCCCACAAAACAGACTATAGTTAGAATGACCCAGCTCTGCTACCCATGGGACAGGAGTCTGCACTTCCTCCACCCACCTACCTATTCCCCTCCTCGTTTTATTCTCTCCACCCTGTTGTTCTCCTTTCTCCTTGTTGAGTCCAGTCTCACGTGTTGCCCGAGAGTGTCAGAAATGATAGAAAACAGATGGAAGAAGACAGAGATGGCAACAGAGGGTATGATCCTGCTGTTAACAGCATTACATAATGCTGGGGGTGGGGAAAAGAACAATTCAACATGTTTCAATAGTGATGATGGTATAGATGACTGAATAACAGGCTTGGCTTTAAAATCTAAAACAAAAATGATATTTCCCTGTTTGACAGTCAATGAATTGAAAAAAAAAAACACAATCAACATATTCACTCTCAAATGTCTGTCCTGCCAACTTTTGGACAAACTTGGCGAGGGTACCAAGCAGGAAGTGGGGTGTTTCTCCAACCAACACACATCATGATTTGTATACTCCCCTGTTCAAGCAGCACACTTCAGACACACACTCTCCATTATTATATAATGAGAACAGTTTTCAAATGAGTGCCCTGCATTTCCGCTCAGCGAGGACTCGCAGAGGGCTGTGATGTGAATAATAACCGGCTAAGGAGAGGCTGACACCTTTCACACCTGTGTTACATTTACTGCTAAGCCACTAGTTGAAAGAGGATTAAAAGAAGGAGGGCGGCGGGGGGGGAAACAAACTTCCCTCTATGCAGACGTCCTCCTTAAGACTGCGACCACACCCATCATTCACCACTGAGCTCTGCTGGTCAAACTACCTCTTTTAAACACCCACATGAGCTCTCAAACAAGGAATGTGTCAGTACCAGTGACCTTGCGCCTGAACTAAAATGTAGTCCACAGCCTCCCTTTCTCCCATGAGACCTCCACACTGGTGTGAGTCACACCTCCAAAAGTCATGTCCCTCACAAACACCAAAACCCTTGTCTTCGTCTAACACACAACAACACTGACGGCTACTGATGCTCTATCTGTGAAATGTATTGTCTCGCTGAAAGGGATGGGCAGCTGAGATTGCGACACTTTAAAAACCAAGAACCTGTGAGCTGATACCAGAATCATTAAAGGACACTTAGTACGTCAATTAAACGACATATATCACGACAATAATCTGTAAAACATTAAGCACTTTATGTTCATTTGGGAGGGGGGGGGGTTACCTGACTGAAATAGTTTCATCAATCTCCTGTGGACACCGCAACCTACTCATGACGTCAGCTAACTCGCTCTTGATATGTTTATGATCACCACGCTGACAGTAAACATGTTGAAGGTGATTATCATCAAGGGGAAAGTACCACGCAACAGCAAGGAGTTAGTTAAAGTCGAACAAAGCGCTTTAAGTGACATTTTGTAACACAGCTACACTTGCAGGATGCAGCAACACCGTGGGGGGAATAGCCCGATGACATGTAGCAGCTAACGCGCTAACCCTTGTAGTTGAGACAAGTTGCTAGCCGTCTGGCTTCACACAATGACGATTATTACGTTGAAATAACACGCGTACTTCATCTAAAACACCAGAGTTATTTGTTTCCTTACCTGATACTTTAAAGGCTCCTAACTAAGGTACCTCCAAATGTTCCCAGTCTTCCAATGAATGCGATGTCTTCACTGCTTGATTTCGCTCTCAGCCCAAGGGCGGTAACACAGGAAGAAGAGAGTGCGAGCATTTTCTGAGTGACGTCTACACAAACCAATGGAAAGAGTTCTTTGTATGAGTGAACCAATGGGGTAAGTTAACCCGCCCCTTTTCTCCAGAGGAACCAATCAGGTGAAAGTCGGGAAAATAAAATAAATAAAATTTAAAAAAATAATGTTCTGGCCACCTGTAAAGCGTATTAAAGACGTATTAAAAAAAAAAAAAAGCAAATAAAAACAAATGTATCACTGTACAAATTCCTGCGATTATTAGACATGCATAATTGCATACGAAGTACTCACTTTGAATTAAATCAACATGATAACTGAGCAAACTGTTTAAAAAAAGATTGTAAATGGACCTTGAATTTAATTAATTCTAATTTTGCCAAGCTATTAACTACATAAATATTGGCTGTAATGGGTGCAAACTCAATCAAACCTTTACAGATATTTATAGAATAGAATGGAATGTCTTTATTATCATTATACAATTGTACAACGAAATTATTATTATTATTTATAGGTCTATTTTAATCAGAAGAAAGCAACAGATAATGTTTAGAAAATAGGGATAATTCAGGTCAAATAGGGTCAAGCTGAGTGTTAGAGCTGGGAAGATAAATCACACTTATACACAAAATGAACTTTTCACGAATACAGATTGTTTTGTCTTCTGTTGCAAGCTGCACAACTAATTTTTACCTGATCAAAGCAACGTCAATCTCACTCTTTTTGTCCTAACCTCCCTCTTTCACACAAATACACCCAGTAACACACCCGAAACACACACTGTGTACAATAAGAACCTTGTCTTCCACTTCATTGTGTGGATAAAGGAGAGCTTTTTCGCAACATGGCATTGCACAACAGCAGAGATATTGAATTTCATGCACCCTCTGGCTCACACAAAATGTGCAACGTAATAAGATGCTATCAAATGTAACACAGAAACTCTTACATGAGACACTGGTGCTTAAAAACTAGGAGTAGCCTTTTGCTGATATAGGATAGGATAGGATAGGATAGGATAGTACTTTATTGATCCCCAGAGGGGAAATTCGGGCGTTACAGCAGCACAGACAAGAAAGCTCAAATACACATTAAACAGAATAGATAAGATAAATAAAATAAAAATAAAAACAGGGGGTATATACAAGAACAAAATGAATGATGAAGTTAACTGGGGGGAATTGAGAATTGAAACAGTATATGAAGAGAATGACAAGTTAAAGTGACAAGTGATGATTAAGGTGACTTGGTATGATAAATAAATAGCAGCAAGTAATGTAAACAGCAAGTAATATGTACTCAAAGAAAGACTAGTTTATTCTCAATAGATACATCGGCTATATCAATACATGTTGGTTGATGGTAAAGACAGATTTGAGGCTGACAGAACACTTTAGCAATCACATGGTTTAGCTGTGATATTGATGTTGCCATGCTGGCTTCATGGGTATGCAGGTTGGATTAATGGATGGAAGATGATTTAGGAGGCTGTGCAGCAACAGATTACCTGGATGGAATATGGTTTGACTAATAAAGACTTTTTTAAATATAGCAAATTACACTTAATCTTTCTAAATAAGATAACTCAAACACCAGACTGTGCTGATGCTAAACCATGTTGAAAAAGTGAAGCACAGCTCTGAACCTTTTTCTACAGCAGCTAAAATAAACATTTATAGTCTCCAAATTTACAATACACTGCAGCTACTAACACAAAGCTGTATCATATCAATCAATCAATCAATCAAACTTTATTTATATAGCACCTTTCAGACAAATTAAATTGCAGTTCAAAGTGCTTAACAAGAGTGCAGAAAAGCTATTGACGTAGTTTATAAATCACTGATAACATCATTGAGAGACCAATGTCAATATAGATAGATAAGCCTGAATCATTAAAAAATAGTGTCTGACTGAAAATCATTCAAATGGTTGCAAAAAATATAGTAGAATAAAATACACTTTTTATTCAAACCATGACTAGAAAGATGATTCTTACATAACTTATTTAACATATTTTAAACTAGAATCACCAGGGATTCAAAAACTATTACTACAGTATTATTTTATTTATTTTGATTTCAAAATATATCAAATAACACTTTTGTATAATATTAAATAATATTCATTAAATATTCATTTTTAGCATTATTTTATATTATTTTAGCATTTATATTATATTATATTATATTATATTATATTATATTATATTATATTATATATTATATTATATTTTATTTTATTTTATTTTATTTTATTTTATTTTATTTATTTTATTTTAGCATTTTATTTAAAGTAGACAATATTTCAGGTTGACGCTGTATGGTGGAGTAATCCGTTGTGTACACCGCCGCCCTGTGGTCGGTTACGTCATCGTCATGTCCGGTCTCAGGTTGAACTCGGAAACAAATCATTTCCTCAAACATCACTTCCGGTTGCTCACATTTTTTTTTTTTTTCTTCAGCAGTTTAGAAGAAATGGCGGACATGGACGAATTGTTCGGAGCGATGGAGACAGCGACAATGAACAGCGAGGTAATGTTTCATCTCAGGTTTTGAAAGACTTGATTTTAAATTAAGTGAGCGGACTAATTAAAGTGTTTTTTTGTTTTTTTAAAATGCTAAGCAGCAGTGAGCGATTTAAAACAACCGGAACTGAACTGTGTTAGTCTGCAAGTGTGAATGTTTGGTCAGGATGTTTTGTTCATCATTGCGTTACAAAAAACATGGACACGTTTGTTATTTCCTAAATGTGATAGCTTTTACCTTTAAAATTAATTGTAGTTCCTAACTAGGAGAAATGGCATGGACACGATGCTCCTCCTGTGTTTACAGGTGTTTAAATCTTTAAAAGTGGTTTAAACCACAGACTAAATGTATTGAGTAGTTTACTTATTGTGTGAGAAAACATTCAGATGGAGATATCAAGTGTGATATAACTTGTTGGTGATTAAACCAACTCAATGCAAACAATTAAATATCTATGAAAAATCGTAAAAGCATAAAGAGTCAAACTGAAATGTAATTCTTCACTGAGCCGTAACAGTAAACATAAAAAAAATGCATTAATAAATCACATTTTTTTTCTGCAGACAATTTTCTCTATGCTCTGCAAACGTCAGTGTAAGCTGTATACGCAGACTAAAATCTAAATAATGAGCAAATAAACAAAGTATTGTCTCTTGGAAAATGTGGATAGTAACTGCACCACATCTGTCCTACGAGTACTAACTTGTAAATGCATGGTTCATGGTTTTATCAATTCATTACATTAGGTTTTAAATATTCACAGCTTACACTGACGTTTGACGTAATGTAATGAATTGATAAAACCATGAACCATGCATTTACAAGTTAGTACTCGTAGGACAGATGTGGTGCAGTTACTATCCACAATACTTTATTTATTTGCTCATTATTTAGATTTTAGTCTGCGTATATATATGATGCGGTTCAAACCCTCAAATGTGATCTTTGATGCGACATTGAAGCGTTACATTATGGAGAACATTTGGTGCCACAACTAGGCAACTTAAGAGGAGACAGTGTTGTTAAAAAAGGGTTCACGAGAGAGGCGATGTAATCTACTGAAAATGTTGTGGCCTTCTGTCTTTGAATTCTGATGTTCAGCCATTCTGTAATGAGAAAATGAGCTGTGTTGTGTCGACCTCGTTTTATTATAATACAAGGCAATGAGACATTTTGCGAGAGCACTCATTTAGCAACAGCCTTTCCTCGCCGTGAACTGATTTTTATACACTCGTTTTGTTGCCGATATAAACAGTCTGTGTTGTTGTGTTTCAGAGTCTGGCTCGGGATCCGGTTCAGACTCCGATCGGGAAAGACCTCGATCTGCCAGCAACGCCTCGGGCAGCGGCAGTGACAGTGAGAGGGAACGGGATGATGACGACGAAGAAGGCCAGGAGGGAGGAAAACCCAGTATGAACAAGGTTTGTAGCTGTGTTTGATACTAAAAGAAAACTGAGTGTGGATGGAGGTCCTGTAGTGGAAGACGGAATAACAGTGAAACTTTGCCTGAACCATTTCTTATTGCATCCAGCATTTTTATCAAGCATCTTCTTAATCCTATTGCTTTACTGATGTCAGGCACCATGAAGACACTGCCACCCTGCTAGAACTGCTGAGTTACATTATGTTCACTCCTCTTTGCTGAGGTGACAAGGTGAGTTAGAGTCAGCTAACTCCTCTCTTTCTAACTAACAGGAACTGTTTGGAGATGACAGTGAGGACGAGCAGCACAGTCAACACAGCGGCAGTGACAACCAGTCTGAACGGTCGGGGAACCAGTCAGACGCCAGCATGCACTCAGACCAGGCGGAGAATGAACACTCTGATGTAGAGCAGCACAGCGGCTCAGAGCGCGGCCATCGAGATGAGGACGAGGAAGAAGGGGGCCACAGGTCCGATGGAGGAAGCCCAGCTGGCAGCGAGATGTCTGGAGCAGGGAGCCCTCGCTCTGACAGAGGGAGCCCTCGCTCTGACAGAGGGAGCCTTCGCTCTGACAGAGGGAGCCCTCGCTCTGACAGAGGGAGCCCTCGCTCTGACAGAGGGAGCCTTCGCTCTGACAGAGGGAGCCCTCGCTCTGAGAGGGGCAGTGTTCACTCAGACAGAAGGTAGGCCAAAACACAGTGATGTGCTTTATTGTTTAGGGCAGGGTACCATTTGTAGAGCACTATTCATCCATAAAGCAATTCAAATATTTTTACAAAGTTAAAAAACAAAACATAAGAAGACAAGAAATTGAGCAAAAATAAGACATCAAAGAAAATATGTATTAAAGGAGCAGCATGTAACTCTGATACGTTGTGTGTGTGTGTGTGTGTGTGTGTGTGTGGGGGGGTTTCCATGTGGTGGGCACTGAAGCTCCTGCCCTGCATCGGTCTTGAAACCTTTCTGGGTTCTAACCTCATTTCATTTTTCAAACGCCTCTTCAATATTTATAATGGTTTTAGCACGTTTCTGCTCCTGGAGCTTAATAGAAAAATGAGGCGGCTTTTTTTAATGGAGTTAGATCAGTCTCAGTATTCGCAAATGCACACAGAAGGATTCACAAATGTATTTCAATACACACACACATATATATTTCATTCTAGATAAATGTAAAACAAATCCACAAATAAAAAAAAGATTGTGAAGATAAGTGTTGATAGATAAGTGTTGATAAGCATTTTTTTTAGAAATGCCGGCCTTAAAGATCTTCCTCCTCTCAGAGAATGAATACGCTCAGGCCAGAGAGCGACAGAACACAATGTGAGACAGTGACGCGTTTGTTTCAGCTCTTCTATAGGGACAACAATGAATGAACAAAAGCACAGATGTTGCCTTACCTGAACTACAGTTGCTACATTTAAGTTTAGTCAGTGATATTTTTTTACTGTTACCTGTAGGTCTAAAAAGTCAAAATAAAACAAACAAACAGCTGAAATCCCAGTCTCACAATGCCTCAGACCATTGTTTGTTTCAACACACAAAAATCCACCTAAGAATGATAAAAACAATAGCAGCTTTGAGAAGCTTAAGTTTGTTTTGTGTTTTTAATAAATGAACTAAACAAATAATCTGTGTTTCATGTTTGTTCTGCTTATCCTGTAATCCTTTGAGTGAATGATATTTTCAAGCACTTATCACAAAATGTACTTGAGTGATTTTAGAATAAAAAAGAGTCACGAACGTAATAACTACGAATCATTCGTCTGTGTTTGTTTGAAATACAGCGTGCACAGCGACCCCCGGACTCCTCAGTCTGTTCCCGGCACCCCTCACTCTGACGGAGAGGCTTCTGGCAGGAGAACCAGTCAGATGATGAGAAGTGGGAACGAGGGGCCAAGAGCGACCAATCAGAGGACGAGGAGGAGAAACGCCGGTACTCTGATGAAGAGAGAGAGAACTCGGACGACGAGGGGCCGAGGAACAGGAAGTCGGTTACGCCACAGGGTCAGTATAAAAGTTAGAGGTGGTTGACCTCTGGATCATCAGCCCCCCCCCCCCCCCCCACCACCACCACCATCTCTGTTAATCTTCACACATTAGATTTCATGAGAAGAGGATTAGAGGCAGATGTGAACATTTATATCCTAAACTGAGAGAGTTGAGATTAATCTTTCAACTCCGGAAGAAGTTTTCTCTCAGTCTTTTTGTATGCAAGAATTATTCTTTCACATCTGGTGCTTTTCTATGTTCTGTAAATCATGCAGGACACTGGATTGTATTTCAACTGTTTTCATTTCTTCCTTTTTTTTTAAGGCTCGGCAAAGGGGAGCGATAGTGAGGATGATTTCCTCAGACAGAAAACCAAAGCGAAAGCTGCCTCTGATTCGGATTCTGACAGCGATATCGGAACCAAGAAGAGTAAGAAAACGTTTGCTCCTTTCTGTTTTTTTATACAGTAAACATTACATTGTTGGTTCATCATAGTATCTCCTGGAAAAGCAGAGTTAGTCGGTTTTATAAGCTGCTTTACCGGGTATTAAAAAAAGGTCTATACTCTCCTGCAGCAAAGACAACAGCAGCAGACGACCTGTTCGGAGAAGCAGACGACATCTCATCTGACAGTGATGCAGAAAAGCCTCCGACCCCTGGACAGCCTCTGGTATCTACCTGCCCTCTCACGCTGTCTCTTTCCTCCACAAGTTACTAAGCCTCTTTAATTATTACGCAGTCATTTTTTTTTTTTGGAGGGTCCCAAATCTCTTTTTCTCAGAGCTTCTCACTAAGCTTCTAGAAGCTAATCCCCTTTATCAAAGGTCACTGAATCTCACTTTAAAAAAAATAATAATCTTGTCTTCTCTCTCTCCTCTTTGTGTGTGTGTGTGTGTGTGTGTGTGTAGGATACAGAGGATGGGATGGAGGGGGAGCATGCAGAAGAGGAGCCTGCGCCTGAAACCCGTATTGAAGTAGAAATCCCTAAAGTCAGCACAGACCTCGGTCTGACCTTTATTTTGTCAAGTTGCCCAACTTTCTGTCTGTAGAGCCCAGGTATGAACACTCCTACTGTCACTATATACAACATAAACACATAAACACGTGTTGTAGTTGACAAGCTTTTAATGTAGTCAAGGTTTAAAGAAAAACTAAATTCCAAACATTCAAAAAATGTGATCCTTGAAAGTTGAAGTTATTCAGGATCGTCGTGTCAGGAGTTTTAACACAGTTTTCCTGATGGTGTTCAGTTGAATGTGCTGGCTTGTGTAACTTCAGGGTCTATTTGAATAAATATTTTTTTATTAAATTCTGCTCTATAGGCCTTTTGATCCTCAGTACTATGAGGATGAATTTGAGGATGAAGAAATGCTGGATGAGGAGGGACGAACAAGGCTCAAACTGAAGGTATGTTTTTGTCGCTGTGTGTGTGGTGTGTAAAGGAAATTAATCCAAAATGTTAATAGCTTGAAGGAGTTGTAGCTGAAAGTCTGTTTCACATTGAGATATCGCTGCAGTGCCGCTATGACACTTTGACATCATTATGCCTTTATACCTCTTCACTGAACCAACAACAGCGTAATATTGATGTCCCACTCTGTGATTTTACAAAGGGTTAAGGCGCCGCAGTGGTATTAGAGGCATAATGTGTTTACAGTGCTGGTTTAGGGGTGGCTACGCTCCATTACAACACTTGTGTGACGTTTTAACTGCAGGGGACTTAACAGTACTGTCTTTTTCATACTTGCCTTTATCGGTTATGACAGCTGAAGAGAGACTGTTGGTGGATAACATGCAGCAAAGGTCAGAGGTCGGATTCGAACCCACGGCCGCTGCGCTGAGGACTATTGCCTCCGTACATGGGGCGTGCATCATAACCCCTAGGCTATTGGCGCCCCGTCACAGTACCGCCTTAAAAAAGGGCCGTATGATTCTTGTCACTTCATTCAGAGTGACTAATGTTTTCATTTTTTTCCGTCTCCCCTGCAGGTTGAGAACACAATTCGGTGGCGAGCCAAAGAGACGAGGAGGGAAATGAAACACGAGAGAGCAACGCCCGGATCGTCAAATGGTCTGACGGCAGGTTAGTGCGTTATATCATACTGGAGGTGTAGGGTTATTACCCTGCGAACAGGTGGTACTCTGTACTTTCTGTGCTTCTGAAACGTCTTCTCTCCTTCCACAGCATGTCCCTCCACCTGGGGAACGAAGTGTTTGATGTTTACAAAGCTCCTCTACAGGGAGACCACAACCACCTGTTCATCCGTCAGGGCACAGGACTGCAGGGACAGGCTGTGTTCAAAACCAAACTCACCTTCAGGTAACACACTAACATGCCACTGTTGTGCTTGGTGACAGGTGGCTTCTTCAGACCAGAGTCTAACACTCACTTGAATTAGAAACTATCAGTTGCCAGGGACACTCCTCCCCTCCTCCTCTTCCTCTTCCTCCCCCTCCTCAGTCTGGCTCCCTGACAGCCGTACATGCACTAAATAAGCCCCAGGATGTCTCTCATTCCAAACAACAACAATAGCAGCCTTCATACAAGCTCTGTTCAGAAGTGTACAGTGTTAGTCGCTGGATCACCTTGTGCAAGCTGCCCCAGGTTTTCTCCCAGTAAGAACTGGTTAAGCCTCTTAGTGCCCCTAGGTCCACCTGGATGTTCTGTCTTCTGGAACCACATGGGTCTAGTAGGAAAGGGGCCAAAGCTGCTTTAAAGCCCTGCAGGCCTCCACGCTCCCAGACAGGACATTACTATTTGTTCTGATCAGGTCCAATCATCAGAGAGAAGTTTGATTAGGATTAAGACTGAAGCTGCTCAGCGTACAGCGGTTAGGTAACAGTTTTTTTTTATTAAGAGGAGCTTGAGGCACTGCAGATAGTTGTGGAACAGAAATGTTCAAGTAGAAAGCTTAGTTTTATGTCTGGTTTTAATGAGAATTAATATTACAAACCACAGATGATGTTTTCAGACTTCTGTTGGCTCCTTCTGCTCATGAATCAAATATGAGCACATCATTTAGAGGATGGCTCTAGCTCCTCTAAAATCAAGTTGGGGTTTTTTTCTAACAAGAAAATGTTTTTGCTGAAGCAGCAAAAATGTTTGTATTCATGCAGGTGGAAACAGAATAAAATGCTGATTCTACTGAAACCATTGTGATACCAAAACACAGTTTCATAAAAACATGAGGCAAGGCAGAGAACCCAGTGGGTTTGGGAAGAGTGGAAAACAGCATTTTTTAAATCTGTGCGGTCTGAAGCAAGTTTTAAGCCAAAAACTCTGAGGTGTATGATGCCCTTAGGTGCTCTGTGTAGTTTTTCTGTTCACCTAGCAGTTGTGTTTACATTAGTATATTTCAGAAGACATTTTAAGATTAAAATTAGTTCAACGTATTACCATATTCATATTACATATGGATGATGTCCACCTTGTGATTATTTCTGTAAAAAAACCTTTTTCCATAGCACTGGTAGTACAACTCCACAAGGTAATATTGTATTACTGTGGGCTAAGACAGGCTTGGCAGGGGACAGTGTTGTTTTTACCAATTTGCAATGCAAATGCATTGGTTTTTTGCATTTCCCACTTAAAAACCCACAGGAAATAAACACTTTTTCCCATTATTATTGTTTTTTTCAGGCCACACTCCACAGACAGCGCTACCCACAGGAAGATGACCCTGTCCTTGGCTGACCGCTGCTCAAAGACGCAGAAGATTCGAATCCTCCCCATGGCTGGACGAGATCCTGAGTCGCATCGCAACGAAATGATCAAGGTAACACACACACAGTCTGTCCATCTGTTCCTGTCCTGTTTGTCTTTCCTGTGCCCTGCCCGAGAATGCTTTTGTTACCACGGAGACCAAAAAAGGTTGCATAGGGCCAGTTGGTGGCAAGCATGGGGCTCAGTTACATAAAGTCCTACCCTGACATGCTTACATAATGAGGTCACACAGGGGCCGGTCAAATGGAAATAGTGTCAGCAAGTCAGGGATAGGGTGAGACTTTGGGCTTGTGTATCTACTGTCAACCTAAACATGTTCTGTTGATAGCAAAGTTTGTAGTTTCAATGAGACCGCCTGACTGCACTTGTTGAAGATGAGCAGCACGGAGATTTTCTGGTTGTTTAATGTGTAAACAAACTTTTGATGCCAAGTGCAGTCACATGCCGGACTTGCTCCTGAAAGCCCTGTCATAGTCTTCACAGTCACACCTGTATCAGTGTAGTCTCAATTCAGCTTTATCTCTTACTCAAGGCATCGTACGAGCTGGTTATTGAAGAATATTAATTAGGAAAAAATACACAACAGATTATGCTACAGATAATATTAAGAGAAATTAACAAAAGCAACCATTGCCCCTCATCTATACCCAACATATAACTGAAATGAAGGTAACAGAAAATATATTCAAGTAGTAGCTTGAAACATCGTGTCAAACGTGTCAACATTATTCCCTTTGGTTTGTCTGTCCCGGCAGAAAGAGGAGGAGCGTCTGCGAGCTTCTATACGCAGAGAGTCCCAGCAGAGGAGGATGAGGGAGAAGCAGCACCAGAGAGGCCTGAGCAGCAGTTACCTGGAGCCAGACCGCTACGATGACGAGGAGGAGGGCGAGGAAGCCATCAGCCTGGCAGCCATCAAGAGCAAATACAAGGGAGGAGGAGGCCTGAGAGGTGAGGACGATAAGATGTTTACCACACTCACCTTCTCTCTTTATTCTTTCACCTGCTGTTTTCTCCTTACAAGTCACTGAAACCCTAATCAACATAATTGTGTTTTTTCGTGATCCAGAGGAGCGAGCGAGGATCTACTCGTCAGACAGCGATGAAGGCTCCGATGACGACAAGGCCCAGAGGCTGATGAAGGCCAAGAAGCTTGACAGTGATGAGGTGGGTGGAGTATTAGATGTGCTACGATCTTTATGCCCAAAAACCAATACAGATCATGTCCAGAAAAACTGTGAACTGCTCGTTAATTTATCCTTTAATATGTTGATATATTATACATATAATATTGTAATGGGAAGTACATATAAAACCAGCCCCAAAACTAGTATGTTTACTAATCTGCAGAACCTGTCAAGGCCAACTCCTCATAAGGTCTGAATGAGTGAACTGCTGAATTGTGGAACAGATTTTCAGCTCTGCTTTGGGGTCGCTCCTTATTTTTCTGATTTAAAAAAACAAAAGTAAAGGTGGATCTGAAACAAGCTATTTTGAAAGTTTTCAGGAGTATGAATATTTTTCAAATGTATTCTCTTCCCTCTTGTGGATTTGGTCAAACATCCAGAACTCCATTTTGAGGCTTTCACTGTCAGTGTTTGGTGGTTCCTTTTATAAGTCCTCTGTAGCGTCTTTTATCCCATCTTTTCATTATGTATTTTTTATATGATTAGCTTTTGCACAAATAAGGAGCTAAAGAACTAAAGACAATGGTTTCCAGAAAGGCAGACAGGGGGCAGTGTGAGGCAGGACACAATGTGGGTTAAAAAGCAAACTTGCCTCTTTACCCTCATGTTAACCAGAACAGGACAGGAAATACTAGTCCTGATGATCATGCACTTAATTCTGCACAGACTGTTTCTGCCAAAAAACAATTTGTAGAGCCAGAAAAAGAGCAGCAGCTGTGAAAGGACACACAGAAAGTACTGAAGCAAAGGTACAGAATGTATGCTGCTGTCAGCATGGCTGTTCACGCCAGAGAGTCATCTCTACTGTTGTGTTTTGTTCAGGAGGGCGAGGGATCGGGCAAGAGAAAAGCAGAGGACGATGAAGAAACGGCCACCAAGAAGGCAAAAAAATATGTCATCAGCGACGAAGAAGAAGAGGAGGAGGAGGTGGAGGATGAAGAAGAGGATGACGAATAATTCATTTTTTTTTATCATTCCACTGTATTATCAGTGCCCACATGGCATATAACCAGCCATATCTTGTTTTGTAGATTTTTCTTAAGACGTGTGTGGGGGTGAGCGTGTTATTGTTTATGTTCTGTACAGCCGAGGAGAAAATAAAGAAACGTCTCCTTATGTAACATATGCTTCCAAAATCCATTTTTTTTAACCATCTTTTGTAACATTATGATTCATATGCATGAGTCACACTGTGTGAGATTATGAAACATAAAGATCAGTCCAGGTACTGAACAATACAGAGGTTAAGGTGGTGAAGGTTGTAGGTTTGTTAGAGATTACATTGGGTAAATAACCTAACAGAGACAGGCACTGCATAACACTGACTCCCATTACAAAACAAAGCACAGACAATCATCTAGCCCTGTGCCAATTCAGTTGATGCAGTTCATGCAGATAAAATGGTGCCCTTGAGGAAAAAAGGGTGGAGAGAGTAGTTTGGGGATAAAGAACCAGCTGAACCCACCTGACAAGAGACGCAAAGGATTAGGACATTTTGGAACTGAGACAAAAGAGCTGCAGTACACGGGGAGAGAAGATCCTCCTCAGCATGTCTGTCAGCCCAGAGGGAAGTGAAGGTTTGCAGGGCATAGCTGGGAATTAAAAATCTAAGTTGGCATCAACATCTACCTCACCTACACAAGCGTCCACTGCTTGAAGTCACAGCTACATGATAACATATCAGTAAAATATCCATCTTTTACTTGAGTTTACACAGCATTGACAACCTGAAACTCCATAGAAATAACCTTACAGCTTTGTTCCATTTGATCACTTTGCTGGCCTGTTTGAAATCAGTATCAGATAGCCTACATTTGTGGACCCCCAACAAGCTAACAGATGTAAACTTTAAGAACAATGAAAAATGTAAACCCTGTTAAGTCAAAATATTACAATATTCCTTATTGAAACATACATAACATTGCCTTCATTTAGAAATATTCAATCGTCTCAATAACATTAAATCCTAATGCTAAATGCTCTGTGAACTCTACAGCCAGTAGAGCAGCTCAAGTTATTGACACAATAGTGCTAATGAACTAGATGCTACTGTTAGCGTGCTAACATATGATGTTAAGCAGAGTTCATTTTCACCATCTAACAGTGTGTTAGCTTGAGCCTATTAGTACGTCCTGATTCTTTGCAGCACAGAATGTAAACACATTTTTTTTAAATTTAAATAAGAACATTTTGATTGTGGATCAAAGTGGTGGACTGTACAGTCTATGTGACAGACCAATATTGCTAACCTAACCTAATGGAGCCAGTAAGGCTAAATGAGTTATGTATTGTGTATTGGATTGACTGTTTTTGTATTTAGTCATCATACACACTACAATATTTGTAAACAATATATAGGCCTACAGTCAAAAGTTAGTTTATTATCAATTACAATCCCAAGAAACTCTGTCTCAAAAACTCTTCAGTCTAATGTCACAGATTTTTTACGAAATAGCCCCATCAATTTTGTTTTGAGTTCCAAAAATCATGAATTTAGTTTTTTTAATATACAATGTAGAGACAATTTATTAACATCAAACCAAGTTTTTATAGCTTCAATGCTCCATTTCTGCACTACACAAAATGTATTTTCAATTTTTACAAATACATTTGTATAATCTTCAAAATCATATATTTTAAAAAGCAGTTTCAATGTAAATGTCATTGATATGAAGTTTAATTAGTATTGGGCCAATCACAGATCCCTGGGGATCCACAATTAACCAGCTTCCTTGTTCTTGACATGTATCATTCATTTGTACACATCGATGTCTACGTTCTAAATAGAAGAAAAAATATAATCATTACCTCGTACCTCATTCTTCTCTAACCTTCTCAGTATTTGTTTGTGATCTTTAGTATCCAAAGCTTTCTGCCACTCAATGTACAACCCCATGGAGCAGTCATCAGTTTCAGTTGTTTGCTATATTTTTCTACCATTTGCATTACTGCACAAGTAGTGGTTCTACTTTCCCTAAATCCTTTTCGGTTTTTATTCAGCAATTTATTTGTTTTACAAGTTAATAGATTCAAATGTTACACAAATAACTTCTAGAAAAACATAGAAAATTGAGGAAGAAGGAAAACTGGTCAAAAGTTGTCCATGCGGTGCTTATCTCCATAAAAAAAAATGGAATGACCTTTGCTAACTTCATATTGTTAGTAAAAAACCTTTTGATAGACAGATTGCATCTATAGGTCAAAGGTCTCGAAACAAATTTCATAATCTCTGTAATAATAATCACGTCAACGTAATGTATGTCGGTTAATCTTTTTCGGTTGAAATTTCTTACAATTTCAATTATAATCATCATAATTTATCTACCCGACTGAGAAACACTGAACTCATATAATTATTTTTCTGATTATTGAACATATCTTTTGTGTCATCAGAAGCATTCATCTTTGCTAAACTAGTGCCACCATCCGCAAAACAGTTATTGAAATCATCAACAACATTTTAAGTTTAACTTTACTATTAGAATAATATGACTGATTACTTTCAAAGTCCTTTAACATTAATATTAAGTACTATTGATTTGCTATGTGATTGTATA